AATATGAGTATGAATACACGTCTACTCTATACATCAATGCGTGACAATGTTTTGTTTACCGTCAGGAACGTTTCCTTATTTCCTCCCTGCATTTAATTTTTCCCTCTTTGTATGCCTGCTTGCTGGAGTTATATTTGAGTAGAGTTTGCATCTGAGAGGTTTGAAAAACACCAGGCAAGTGGGGCAAAGGGGAAAAAATTGACGGGTCCTCAAAAAGTCATGGAAAAGTTTTAAAATTTTGCCCATGAAAATGTGTGGAAACCCTGTACTCTGCCTCTGATTGGCTTACCATGAAACTCTCACCCTAACCTTTACTGATATTACTTCTCTTGCCTAAACCTGACCAATCTGAACAACAAGGCAACGAGTGGCTGAGATGCTAGTGGAGATGGTGTGCGTTGCTAATGTTAGCTGGGATGCTAACAGAGTTAAGTTGGGGGAGGGCCATGCGGAGTGGGAGGTCAATGAGGAGAGGTGGAGCTGCTGCCAGATATACTTGCAAAGTTCGTCACTAGAGTGGTGTTTTTACATTCCTCTACTGAAGGGGGCGATGTCTGTGCACTTCCCTAAAATCTGACTTTTAAACGTAGCCCTGGCAAGCTAGATTAAGTACCCCACAAATACAAGAGCCAATCGCTATCTAATTTGGGAAACACATATCGACAGTGGAACAGCCTTTGACACAACACAGACAAAGAAACCTTAAGTAAGTAAGTAAGTAAAGTTTATTTATATAGCACCTTTCACAGATACTAGATCACAAAGTGCTTTCCAGTAGACAAAGCAAGTACAACAGTATAACACAACATTAAAAACAAAGCACAAAACAAAGCTTAAAAAACAAAGCAAGGCAAAAGACAAGGTGTCTGCAAAGTGCAAAATGTAAATAAAACATTAGATAAAAGAAAAATAGTAAGAGATTGATGGGGTAAAAGGAGTTAGTTAACCAAAGGCCTGGCTAAAGAGCAGTGTTTTCAGTTGTTTTTCAAAAGTGTCACATGACGCTGCAGATCGCAACGAAAAGGGGAGGGCATTCCAAAGTTTGGGAGCAACCGCTTGGAAAGCTTGGTCTCCACGAGTGACGAAACGAGTACGTGGAACTGACAGTAGGAGCTGATCCGAGGATTTTAGAGTATGACAAGGAGTGTAAGGTTGAAGGAGGTCTGTGATGTATGCAGGGGCTAGACCATGTAGGGCTTTAAAAGTCAGGAGCAATACTTTAAAGTTGATTCGGAATTCTACTGGAAGCCAGTGCAAGGAGGACAGGATTGGAGTGATAGGAGCCCTTAACCAGTTTTTGACCCTGGAGCTCTCCTCCACTATCTACCAAAAACCCGGTCTTAGCAGATATTATTTACTTTCATTCTACACTTCCATGTAGTACACTATGTGCACTGTATACTTATTGGAGTAGTGCGCGAATTTCGACAGGGTAGTGTTGTCTCAAACCAAACACAGCCCTTGTGCACTCACTGGAAATGACGACTGCAATTTAGCTAGTTAGCAAACTAGCATTAGCATTTGCGTTATCGTTTGCGGTACCAAATCATTACAGACTGCTAAATTAACCCAATAAATATACTGCTGGCTTATACCCAACAACAGTATAGTGGTGGCCGCCATTTCCAATTTGAAAAGTGGTCCCTCCCTTTCCACTACATAGCCAAGATGGTGACCATTGAGGACGAGAAGCGTCCATAGTTCAACTTCTTGACTGTTTGAATGCACCATCCGGGTACTCATAGTGCACTGCATTTTTCCATACTTCTCAGTGTGAACGCACTTATGCACTCAGAATATTAAGTGTAAGTACAAAAGTATGAAATCTGAGACACAGCAAAAGTGTCAGCCTCTGCTAGTTAGCCTAAGCTAACAAGCTAACGAAATACATAAACAAATAGAAGATGCTAACTACACTTAGCATTCTGATACATGTGCTAGTTACCAGCTTTGGTGCATCTGAGTCTTGAGGCTTTAACGTACAACTGAATCTCTCCTATTTTTCCCTCCATCACTAACACTAGCCATTTTGATGCACACTGCTCTTTCACCGGTCCACCTAGCGCTAGGAGTGCCATACCTGCGCTAGGGAAAGCGGAGAGCGAAACCAACTGCAAGCTGCTGTGGTGGATGGGAGGGCAAAGGCCAGATCCAGAATTTTTGACTTAGAAATGAGTTTTTCTTTTCACTTTTTTATGTGTGAACACCATGTTAAACAAAATATTAATCACATGTAAAATTGTAATCTTAAACTTCAATCACGACTAACACATTGTCTTAAAGACTGGTCAAAAATGCTGTACTCCAAAAGTCTAAAACCCCAGCCGGTTCTCACGAGGACAGGAATGAACGAACACACACACACAGATAATACATACACCGTGACACACATGCATGCATAAACAGGCACCCACACACTGATTTTTGCCGAGCAATATTGCCCCCAAAGGTCAAGTCATCAGTCAGAACACACCATTACCAGAGCAAATGATAAATTCAGCAGCACTCCATTTGCTTAAGGTAGGAGGAGAAGAAAGGGAAGGGGAGACAAGAATGGGAGAGGGAGACAGAAAGATTGAGTGAAGAAGGAGACAATTGAATGCATAAAGAAGCCTGGGAACGCTGAATACAAAGTAAGAGAACGTGAAAACAAAAGAATGGGCTGAAACAGTAATTTGGCAGGATATTATGGGGGGATTTCTGTCTTTATGTTCCTGGCCATCTCTCTCTATCATTTACGCTTTCTTTCCCATTCCCCTCTCTTTTCTCAGCCCGTACCCGAGGACATCCCTATTCAGTGGTCACAGCACAGGCTATGAAAATAATTTGACAGGCCAATTTTTTTTTTTCTGTTTTCCCTTCTCTCTTCTTTCCACTGTTCTCCCACCCCCTGGCTCTGAGGTTCGTCCTATTTGGGTGTCAAGTGTCTCGGTGAGTGCACACTGACACTGGTGGTGTTAGCCTAAAGGCCCCACTACTAATGAGACGTTCAGAAGGACAGACGCCATTCAAAGAGTACAGAAGAGGCTGGGATTTGCTTCTGATGGGAGTAACTCTGCTTCATTACCCCCCCCCCCCCATACCCTCTGTTCTACACGGCTGTACTGTCGCTAACTCCACCGCCTCTTCCCTCTGGTTTGGCTCTTTTCTAAACTGCAGCTCCATCCCTCATCTCTCAGCTGTTTCTCTTTCTTTTTTTCCCAGACTCTCTTACTGTTTCTCTTTCCCTGCCTAATTCTTTGGATCTTTGTCAAATTTGGGGCATCAGTAGAAGAGCTCACACAGCCTTTAGCCTCATGGGCATTGCATGGCAGAGTCTGAAAGTTGAATTTTTCACTGTCTGGCTGGCAAAGGATTTTTGTTAACCTGATTTTTTTGAGTTAGGAAATAAAAATATGCTAATGTGGTTACATCATCCGAAAGGTTCCTTGTGCCTCTGGTGCGCCGACTAATGGAGTTTACCAGACGTGGTGAGAGGAATTTAAATAAGAGCTTTGGAAAATGGTTGTTAAAGATCGGTTCAGTCTGCACTTATGCGCCAAATAGGTGGGGCAGAGCTTGTGTGTGTGTGTGTGTGTGTGACAGTGAGAGAGAGAGAGAGAGAGAGAGAGAGAGAGAGAGGGGTGAAAAGGAGAGTGATAAGAGGGTTGTGAAGGTCAAGTAAATACCACCACTCAAGACATCGCTAAAGAGCAACTTTGTTGGTCACATAACAATGAGACACTCAACCTCAGCACACAAACACACATTCACACAACCTCTATTCCTTTGTGAGTCGTCATTTCGTGATGCGTTCAGGGGCTTATTTGAGGTGTAAATGTGCATATGTTGAGCATGTGTGCTCTAGTTGGTGTGTATTTTCTTAGGCATGGTTTTAAAGGCTAATTCTCTGTATAAGAGGAAGCTCATTTTGCCCGAGACAAACACATGGCCACATATTGATTTCAAGGCTCTGTGATTTATCGCGTACTCCCCGAAGAACACATTTATGGTGTTTTTGCATGCGTGTGCGTGCGTGTCTCCGTGTACACATACCTTGGCTCTAATGACAGATGAGATGGATCCCCCCCACGCCGTCTGTCTCAGTGTTTTTACAGCCAGAGAAACGAGGCCCCCAGACTCACATTAACACCTTGATATATCGCCGTTCCGCCGCTCCAGCGCAACAGGGAGGGAAGGTGACAGCTACTGTGCCCCTGCAGGCTGCTTACACCCCTGAGCAAATCCCCATTCAATTTCCATCTCACTCTAAAGAGAGATTGCTTGGTGTTTTACTTTTTTTTTTTTTTTTAGTCCTTATTGCTCACTAGGCAGATGTCTCATTGTAGAGGAAAAGTTTTAGCAATCGTTCTCCGGCTACCTGCAAACAGGCTTACGAGCAAAGTTTCCATTTTTCATTGCATGGGAATGGCAGGCTAATGAGTCATTTGAGTGACAAAGCTAACATTGTTTACAAACCCTGAGTGGAAACTGTTGTGTAAATTGGGTTTTTACAACACTACTACACTTCACATAGGAATAGAGCTGTTGTTAGTTGGTTTCAAGTATTACTGTTTGCTTAAATCAGTCCACTTGATTGAATTCGGCTGCATTGTTTTAGCATTTTAGCATTACATTGCCAATGTTTTATCAAAGGTTTATAGCAGATAATTCTATGTATTTTTAATTCCAGGTAGTTTTTGTCAACACACTGATTTCAGCAGTCTTTAAAATGATCTCAAACTTTTGTCAACACAACTTTTGTCTCCTTCTCTCTCTTCAATCCTTCCCTCTGTTGAACATTGGTCCTTGTTGTTAATCCTGGGCATGTGGCCAAAATTTATCCATCCATATGGAGACACGCTTGTCTTTCCCCAACAACCTGTTCATCTCTGTGCCTGCCTCTCTGCCTCTCCTCTCCTCTCCTCTCCTCTCCTCTCCTCTCCTCTCCTCTCCTCTCCTCTCCTTTCCCATCCCTCTCCCCTCGCCTTTCCTTTTGTCTTCTCCTCCCCGCCCTGCAGACCTCACCCAGCGTGTCCATGACCAGGTCCTAAGTTATGTCCTCTGTCCCTACTTTCCCACCATAGCTCCCTCCTCCCCTGGTGTCGACTCCGCCCCTTTGCAGCGCACAGGAAGCCATGGCACAGGTACAGGAAACTACAGCCGTGGTGGCACCAACAACTACGCAACAGTGGGACCAGGCTACACCTCAAGCGGAGGTGGCGGGGACGTGTATGGCTCAGACCCCTATGTGGCGGACCCCTACCGCACCTTGCAGTACTGCCCCTCGGTGGTGGAATCGCCCTACAGCAAATCTGGACCAGCCCTGCCGCCTGAAGGCAGCCTGCAGCGCTCGCCTTCTATCGACTCTATTCAGAAAGACCCCAGGTAGGATTAAAGGGGTGTGTGGGGTATGTGTGTGCCTGAGCATGTGTGTGTGTGTGTGTGTGTGTGTGTGTGCTTTGTGGGGTTCAATGTGTGTAAGATCATGGAGCATAGAATGCTGAAAGGGAAAGTTGTTTTTTTTTTTTTTTTTTTTTGAAGTGGGGTTGTATGAGGTAATTATCTACAGTCAGTGTGTTACCCTCAGCAGATGTCAGTCAGTTTGGCGAAGCAAGCAGGAGAAACGCCATGGAAGCTAAGCGATGTAGTGCTGTGGACGGGGCTGACAGTAAAACGTATTTTAACCACATAAAACCACCTTTCTTGGCCTCCAGTTTCCACAGACGCTTCCCCTCTTTCTCTTTAGGCCTCTTCAGTCTCCCTCTGCAAATGTTCGTCTTCTGTACACTCTGGCTCGTGAAGGTATCCTCTTGTCTCCACAGCAAACAGCATCTTGTTGTTGCTGTCATATCACTCATTTTTCTTTTCTAGTATTCATTGTCTCCTATATAAATCCCTAGAAGTCTGACCCAGCAGCTGATCTGCAGCGTACGACACAGTTGCGCTTATGTGTAGGGATGTGGAAGTTCTACAGTCGAGAAAATGTAATGCCAAAGGAAAGGGCTGTCTGACAGTGAGGTAGCGGTTAGAATATTCTAAAGGTATTTTAGAAGGTTGTGGAGACTATCGTAATCTTTTGAACGTTCATACTTGGCGACGTGTGTTTCTGCGTTACGACTTGTGTGTGCACACCACAAGACTTCTCCACCAAGCCCTCGCCGACAGAGCCCCAGATAACGCGATGACTTCACCAAACTTGGAGACGACACATGGTAAAGGCATGGATATTCTTTATTATCCTGGGTCCAAACACAACGTGTTCACTGTGAACCTGTGGACGCCGTCATTGTTGTTGTTGCTTGCTGGCTTGTCAGTGTTGCCAGATCTTGGGAAAGAAACAAGCAACCAGGGCTATGGAAACAAGCCCAAAAGAAGCGACTATCATGCATTTGAATAACTTATTAGACAGATAAATATAGAGGAAGGTGATGTTTAGAGAGCAAGCCCAAATAAGCAGCTCCACTTTAGAAACAAGCCCAAAGTCACGGCTAATAAGCGGACCTGGCAACCCTGCGGCTTGTCCTCACATTTCTTCCGTCCTCCTGTGTGGTGACGTGGGACGTATCCCGCCTCTCATTGGCTGATGCTCTTTGTCAGTGATGTCACACTTCTCCAGTTTTCTAGCATGCCAGATATCCAGTCCCAGCCTCAGACGAGGGTGCGACTTGCTCGTAGGCTTGTTCACACATGAGGACTCGTCGTGGCAGACTATCTGCTGACTCACCTCCGACCCAAGGTGGCTCTCAAGATCCTCTGCGACGTCAAAATCGCGATGAAAATTGTGTAATGTGAACTAGGCTTTACACTTGACTTCTTTAGGTGGCTAAAATATGGTACTCCTGTCTGTTTCTTCAAACTTGGGGTGTTCTGACTGCTATCTACTGTCAGTAATACACTGACTATAGTTAAGTACCTCACACAACCCCACTTAAAATAATCCGAACTATCCCTTTAAAGGCACATAATCTATGTGGTGGTCGTGCCTCAACAGGTGTAGTTGGGATCGACTTCACTTATCTCTCCAGTATTGATATGTGTGCATCAATATACTGTATTCATAAGAATAGCTTTGATAGCTAATGCAGCTACAGACACCACTCACCCACCATTTTTCTTCAAGGCTCGCTCAAATCAGACTGAAAACAGCACTGTGTTTTAAACATGCAGGGCGTGTGCGAGTGGGGGGGCATGCTGCTCCAGCTACCGCTGTGAGGATGAAATAAAATCCGGGACGGCTGGTTTGACTAATGGATTCATAAGTTTGAGGGCTTATCAGAAACCAAAACACCACACAGGGATTTATTAAACTATGAGGAAGGATTTCACAACTCTCAAAAGTTCCCTTCAGTGACAATCATTTCATCCGCTGTCTAGACAATCGCGAGGTAAACAGAAGAATTACGGTGTTTACTTACAAAGTAATGTGCCAAGGATGTGTGCGCTTGTTTTTGATCGGCCGCTCAGTGCAGGAAAGTTGAGCCAGGTGCAACTTTATTTTTGTCTGCATCGGACCCCAGTGCAGTGGCCCTACTGAATCAAGCTGAGGTGTTTGCACTTGGTGCTACTGTTTTTTTTTTTTTTTTTAAAGATATTTTTTTGGCCATTTTGCCTTTAATGGACAGGACAGGTAAGTGTGAAGGGGGGAGAGAGAGGGGATGACATGCAGCAAAGGGCCATAGGCTGGATTCGAACCCGGGCCGCTGCAGCAACAGCCTTGTACATGGGGCGCCTGCTCTACCACTAAGCCACCGACGCCCCTTGGTGCTACTGTTGATCATAACTTACTCCTTGATAGACGAGTGTTTCGTCAAGGAAAAAAAACAGAATACAGTGTTGCTCCAGTCACACACCGGTTGCTTCAGAAGCTCCATTTCACCTCCCTTAGTGTCACGCTGTGTGTAAAAGAGTCCTACTGGGCTGTGATCACTTCCATCCTCTTGTCTCCGCAATTAAGCAAAGCTCACTCTCCCTACTTTATTTATATATATTTCACAGGACTCTTGATGTATAATTCCTTTAATTACGGAGCGAGAGGGACTTAGACGTGCGTGGATCAGGTCTCAGCAGCAGCTGTCAATCACAGGAGAGGGAGACAGAGCGAGAGGATGGGAGGGAATTATTTAAAACAATGGCAAAGACAGGGAAAATGGCCGAACGATGTGCGCACAGTCAGACAAACATACAATCCTCAAACTTGTGAAGTCATGTGAAGTGTTTGATAATGAGGTCGTGATGGTTTATTATTAATGTAATCTGATTGACTGGCTCAAGACGGACTTCTTGTTCCACACAAATGATCTCTAATGTTCCCACTCAGGGAAAAAATAATTTATAGGTTTGATTTAATTTCGCAAATGAAACAGAATTCCCAAAATGTGTATTTTCTCTGTTCAGTTATTGACTGTGAAGAAAAAAAAAGCAGTCGTTCTGACTCATAAAAGACTGTTCTGCCTTTTCTCTTTGTACAAAGGAACTTTTTTTCATATGCACACTAAGTTTGTGGAGCCTTTGCTCGGTGCACTATGTTGCACTTTGCTGTCTGCGCTGTGATATTCACATACACAGAGAATTCCCCCTGAATTCTGCAAGAGGCAAAACAGTAATATACGTTGTGTTTTCTGTAAGGTGCATCCATGCCAGCCAAGTCTGTGGCAAAGGGACACGAGTTACACAACAACATAAACAGTTGCAACAGCAGTAAGAATAAGTTTCTCAAAGAGACGCAAAGAAGTAAGGAGTGAGCACAGGTCACATAGATACGGAACAGTCTCATGGATTTCAACATCACATATAGTGCACACACTGACGTCTGGCTATGAATATGAAAACAGATAGAAGATGATGATGGCAATGATACAGTGAAAAAAGAAGGAAAAATATCACAAACATCAGAGAAGCTGAAATTTGAATGCTCATTAAGGGATAATCCTGCACATGAATTAATCTCTTTATATAGCCGCGGAGATCAAATGCTGTTTTCATACATTAGGTATTGCTGCCATTCATTACCGGCCAATATGGAAGACGGCTTTTAAACTTCTATTGTCTAAGCTGCTTGAACAAAGGCAGCTATTACATTCAGAAGTTAATTGCACTGTTTTTGTTTGTAAATTTCTGGGGGTTTTTTTCATTGCAAATAACATCTAAGAAGTTTTATCAACCTTTTTTATTTGTGTCTGGCTCATCAAAACATGGATGATGACTCTCAGTGACTGTCTCATTAATGTGTCATACCTGTAGGACACTCGGATTTTTATAGCTGCGTCTGAGACATCTTTACCAAAATCTTTTCTAAATATTATTAATCTTGAGTGAAGAGCTGATTGAAGTCCTAAAAATGCATCAACACTACCTTTTGTCATTTGTTTCTACAACTGATAGATTCTGGGTGGAGAGTAGGAGTGTAAATCACCAGTTTCATCATGATCTTTGGACAACAATATGATATTTGCTGATATAACAAATACCATATGATACGATTTTGATTTGATGCAATTTAGGGCCCTGCAATGCTGGAGCCTATCCCAGCTGACATTGGGTGAGAGGCAGGGTACACCCTGGACAGGTCACCGGACTATCACAGGGCTGACACATAGAGACAGACAACCATTCACACTCACATTCACACCTACGGACAATTTAGAGTCACCAAATAACCTGCATGTCTTTGGACTGTGGGAGGAAGCCGGAGTACCTGGAGAAAACCCACGCTGACACAGGGAGAACATGCAAACTCCATACAGAAGGGCTCCCCCACTCTGGGTTTGAACCTCCAGGTTATATAGTGAGATTTGATTTGTTGTCTGCAACCTTGGTAGAGTTCCTTAAGTGTTCATTGTAAAGGACATTTTTCCTTAGAGCCAAATTATACACACAGGTCTTTTCCTCTCCAAAAGAAACAGACCAGGGCCCGTATTCACAAACATTCTGAGAACACTCTAAAGGAGCTAACGTAGCCTAAAATGTTTAGTAAGGAGTCATAGCTGTCTGCTAATGTTGTTGTCTGCTTTTTTATATTTGAATATAAAAAGGACCTTGATCAAAAAAAAAAAAAAAAAGATATAAACAACACAAAATAATGTAAGTAATTGTAACCACTTAATAGCAGTAAAGTTCACTTTAAACTGACTCCGCTAACACACTTAAAACAGCACATGGAGTAAGTTAACCATCAGGGCTTTCTGCCAGAAAGCCCATTCTGAAAGACACAACATCAATTAACAAAGGTATAAAATTCAGCTCAGTAATAACTGTCAAGGTTCACAGACAAATCAACTGTTTTTTGCTTGTCACTCATTATTAGCTTAAGCATTTTTACATTGTATGCATTAGCCTAGCAGCTTGCGGACTTTCTTTTCTCTACTCATAGCTTAATAAATCACATG